TGTTTTGTAATAGAAATACCTTTCTCAAAAGTGGTAACAATATCTCAAAGGCTTTGCACTTAGCTGTAGTGTGATGTGATACAGATTTTATAGTAAGGCTTCAAAGTTTCCATATCTGAATCACGTAGAAGGGTATTTCAGTCAAACATTTCTCTCACATGTGAAAGCAGATGGAGAATTCTTGTTTTGTTTTGTTGGTTATAAAGGGAAATGAATTCTCTTACCAGTAAATGATTGCAAGGAACTTAATCATGCTGTGGTTTGAGAAAGTACATGGAAAATCTGCCAGTGATGGGATTGCAGCCTTGCTTTGAGTCCTGCAGCATGTGTGGGTTAAGGGGTTCACCTGTAGGATTCCAGGACAACAGCAGTGACCATGAAAAGGAGAGGGGAAAATAGATGGAGTATAAAACAGGAGAACAGATCATCCCTGAGGGTCTTCTGAAGATGTCTGCCTTGGCTGCTTCTCCCATGTCTAGGTTAAGCTGAATTTTTTCCCCTTTCTCATCTTTCCAATGAGACATTAAGATGTCATTCCCAGCTCTTATAATTGGGGAATTTCTTCTCGTTGACTTGTCTGCTTTCTATTTCTGCTTCAGGATAGAATGATGCAATTGTTTCCTTCCTGTTGCATGACTTAGAGTGTACAAAATTCCCATTGCTCTGCAGGGACATCTGTATAAAAACATAAAACACCAAGTGTGCCATGTACCTGTTGGTGTCCTCTACTCTGTGCCACTGCAAGCCAAGCTGAGGCTTCTCCATTAAGTTACTAAGATAGCTTTGAGGAATGGAGTTTTTCCAGTAATGTTCAGATCCAGATGTCTGTTTATTCCAGCTGAATGAATTATTACTGCTCAATAGTTCCTTTAATTTTAGTGAGTCAGGCAGGCATCCTCTCCTGGCTGGTGTTTGCTGTGCCCTTGTTTGGGTAAGGAGGTCTGGTCACTCTGAATGGATGGGTACCCTGGGTCTAGCAGTTATTTTCATTTATTTGTTTGTTTATTTATTTATATTTGTAAGGAAAGATTTGGCTGCGGCATCCTTTCTTTGTTTTCCAGGCAGAACTTACAAGATTTCTCAAACTCAGCCCAAAAGTTCTGCTGTGGGTGTGGGTCTAAATAGCAAATTTGATACAGCCAAACTGTAATAGTGAATAGGGGGAAGCACAGGACATGAAAGGTGCAAGAATGTGCAGCCTGGCATGTGATAACCTCTCCAAAGGTTTTATTTCAGACAAAAATTTAGGGAGTAGGGCAAAGATAAGGAAATATCAAGCCCTGACAGTCTAACCTCTGACAGCTTTGGAATACTCTGTGGGAAGATAAAGTGATTGGAAGTAGGAGTAGGAAACTCAAGAGTGCTGCAAATGCAGGGGAGCAGATGAGAAAAGCATTGGTAAGCAAAGCCTGCTGGTATCAGCTAATCAGACAGCATCTTGGGGAATTTTTTAGGAATCATCCAAATGTGTGTGAGCTGGGAGAAATAATGTGTGTTGGCAAACATAAATCCTCAGTGGGTGAGAGGGTATGTGCCTATCTCAAGCCACAGGCAAAAGGCCATACTGGGCATGACTCTGTGGTTGCATAGGAGGGAGCTGCAATTACTGAGCTTCTGTCCAGACCAAGCCTTAGAAATAGAGAAATTATGGTTATTTTTACAGATTTAAAGAGTGCATGAAGGCTATTGCCAGTGCCAGGACCAAACAGCACAAAAGGTGGTAAAGAGAATTGAGTTATATATAAATAAAACGTGTGTTTAGAGTGTAGATTTCACTATTCTCCAGCATTCCTGGAAGTTTCTTGGATCCTAAAACTTTCAACATTGACAGTGTGGTGCACATTACCTGGATCTGGTGTGAGAGCAGGAATATTTTGTGAGCCACTGTCTCAGCTGCACATCGAATCTCTATCAGCTATCTTCCAGTCCTGAACTCTCTGTGTCAAAATGGAAACTATGAGGAAAAAACCCCTAAGAGTGTCATCTGTAAAGATAAAAGTTTCAAAAGTATTGTGTTTTAAATACAGGAGGAAAGCCTCTCATTGTACTTGGTGGCTCCATGTCAGCCAGCTCCCTGTCCAGCCCTGGGTACCACAGAGCAAAGCAGCTACACAGCAGATGGAACAGAGGCAAATTATAAAGATAATAAAAGAAAATTCCAGCTATGGAAGCACACTGAAAACATTTTGTAGTCTGGAGCTGAAGAAGGCTGAGAAGGTATATGCAAAAAGCTGCCATTTGGAGGAAGAGAATAATCTGTTTTTTCATGTCTTCATGGGACAGGACAAGAACTGATGAGTTGAAATGAAACAAAAAGAGATCAGGAGTTAGATAGGAGGAGAATCTTGCAATTGTTCAGGATAATTTGTCACTGGAATGGATTGCTCAGGGCTGCTGTGGAATCACTTCACCTCGGTGAGATCAGGCCTGACAGACACCTGCCAGGAGTGCCAAAGGTGCTGATCCTGTGCTGGGAGCAGCAAGGTGAGCTCAGGGACCACCTGAGCACCTTCTTCTCCCAGTTTCTTTGATATGCACCTTTGTATCTTCCTTCTGACACTGCTGTTTTCTGTGGCAGTCCGCTCATCCAAAAAGAAGTCTTATTTAAAATGCTAGTTTGATATTCACTTCAATCAAGCAGCAGGAAAAGAAATATAATGTCTGGTTTTGTGACAGAAGGAAAGTTAGCCTGAGACAGATTTTGCTACAGAGACCAGCTTTAGGGCTACCACAATTTTTAAAACATCTGTTTCACTGTGGTGTAGCAGGAAGCAGCTTCTATTACACTTTATCAGCAAAAATTCAAATCCCTAAGTGACAGGGCAAGCTTAGAAGGAAAAACAGCTGTTGACGAGACTGTGGTGCGTGTGCTGTGGGCCTCAGCAAAATACAACTTAATAGGAAGGGAAAGCAAAGCATCTTTCCATTCAGCTTTGAGGAAAAATGTTCATGGTCCCAGATGATGGGATGGATTTATTCAGCAGTTTGTGGGATGTGCTACTCCCAGCAGTGCATTCCCAGGCAGGGCTGGCTCCAGTGCAGCAGATGTGTCACAGAGCTCAGCGAGCAGGGCACTGATCCTGGGTTGCATAAATCCTTTCTGTTGGATAAAACACAATGGTGACTCTGGTCAGCTCTGTAATTGTGGCTGGATGTGTTTCATTAGAGCACTAAAATCACAAAAATTGTGATATAGTCACACCTTACGTTGCTGGTGCTCAAATAAGAAGCATTAGTTCTGTAGTACTAATTAAATTTTGCCTGGTTTTCTGTATTTTCCTTTTGAAAGGTATTTTTCTTTGGGGTGTTTGCCTGCATTCAGATCTAGAAGGTCTTGTTAAGGGGACTGCTGATTTTGGAGAAAAAACACAATAACCCATCTTTCTCTTATGTTTTTTTTGTGTGCATATCAGATCTTGGGCTATGCAATGACTTTGAAGTGGAACATCACCAAGATTTGTTGCACTGAAAAAATGTCACGTTAAATTGCCCATTCCTCTTTAGTAAATGGTGGGGGGAAATAAAAGGGTGATCATTATTTAAAAACAAACAAAGCTGGAACTCATGCTACAAGCAGGGCATTTATAGTCAGTGGTTTCTAGAGTGATGTTAGAAAAAGGACTGCATCATAACATGGGCTTCACTCCTCTAAATTCCTCATTAAATCTGTGTGGGTAACAGTTATTCTTTTGAGACAGTGACTTACTTAAAAAGCATAGGTATTAAATTGCAAAAAAACTCTCAAACCACCCAACCAAGTATATCAAAGAAAAAAACCCAAACCACACAACACCAAATAACAACCACATAAACAAAACACCCTCAAGTCATTAACTAATATGGCTACAGAGTTGTGTTGCAGGAATGCATAATATACCCCAGATTGGGTGAGGTGTCTGTGTACGTGGATGTTAATGAGCTAAGTGAGCTGAAAAGTAAACAGGATGTGCCTCATTTTCCCTGATGAGCTTTTCTGTACAGGATCCTGGAATTTGCCTTCAGGTGAAGTGTCAGAGATTGTACTTTCCCCAGGGAGAGTCAATTCTAATTAAGCAGTATACAGACAAAATCATCTCTTTGTTCTGCTTTTGCAGAGAAACACTTGAATACCAATTTTGGCAGGGTATCAGTGCTGAGGACATTGGCAGTGGCCCCTCACCTGCACATCTCTGAGCTCTGCACTGTTACCATGGGATGTAGGAGTGAGTTTGAAAGAGGTTTCCACAAAATCAGCAAAGTGGAGTGAACTGTAGATGAATGTCATTATATTGGCTTTGCTTTCAATTTGGACAAGGCACAAATAATGAGAACTTGTTAATTAAATAGTGTGCTGCTATTTTTTTTTTTAACCTCTTGAGGTAAATGGTACACTTTAAATAGTGAAAGTTTTTCTAATGGGCATATGAAAAATCTATCCAAACACAGACCTTCCTTTTTGCAACAGAAGAAATTCCTTTAATTAGGTGAGAGTTGTAGCTGCTTAGCCTGAATTTTGTATGGAATACTTTCCTAAATATTTCAGGAGTTGATGATGCAGCGTGGTGCAGCACAGAGGAAAATCTTGGTATAATTTTGGATGTTGGTAAAAGAACTTACCACTATGCAAAGATGCAAGGTTTGGATTCCAAAATACAGTTTTAAGTACACTAGAAAGAAAAGTAAAATTAAATTTGGGAGTGTATCTGGGGTTAAATTTGTAGTTCCTTTCAATGTATTTTGTTTGAGGTGAGCTTTTATGATAAAGGATGGGCTTAGTAGCCATAGCTGTACATTCATTGAGTGAGGCTGATCTTCGTGGAGCACATTTCTAGGGAGAGGCTGGTGAGATGCTGTTCAGTGAGTGTGGTTAGACACAAACCTGCCGTCCTTCTCAAGAGCAATGTAGGAGTTGGACATAGACCTGGAACTGGCACTAAAGGAAAATTTACTGATTTCTGTGTTACCTTTTCTCTGTCTTCAGTGGTATGCTGGAGGCAGTGGTTCATTCTGGAAATGTTATTTTTCAGACACCTGTTTGAAACTCACCCTGCAGTTGGTGCCTAAGTGATTTTTGCATTCCTTCAGTTTCTTGTGCAAGTTCCAGGTCAAATAAATTCCCAGAACCTAATGTGTAAATTATTCAGACACATTGAATTTCAGCCTTTTTTTTTTGTTACTTGGTTACCATTATTTTCATAACCAGTAGAAGTGTATAATCTGATGTGTTCTTTTAATTTTATAAGGAGGATACTTCTGATATGTTTTGATTTGAGACTTTACTAACAAACATTCTGTTTACGCTATGAGATCAATTAGACACAATTATTTATCAATGTGATCACAAAACAGAAAAAACATTTCAGAAAAATCTGGTAGTATTTGGTTGTCCAACTTTTGAGATACAAATTTTGAAAGACTGATTTCTAAGCCAGCTGAGATTTGTCCCTGAAAATCGGATTTCTCTGGAACCTCAGATGTTCATCATTAGCATTAAATGCTCACTACTAAGAAATGAATTGTTGAATTCAGATGTAAAAATGGGGAGACTATTTTCTCTTGTAATTGATCAATAAATCATGTTCTTGATCTGAGGAAATTCCCCATGAGTAGTCCTCTTGTAATCACAGCTGATGAGGCATGGTGGGTGATGGTGTGTTTCTGTCTTCAGCAATCAGGCCGTGGCCATCAGAAAACACATAAAACTGCAGGTCATTATCTTGAAGTGTAAAAGATGTCAACCCTCTGCCAGGCCTGCAGCCTTCCAGATGTTCAATATCCTTGTCATTGTTTGATTTAGCAATCCAGGCAGCTTTGTGTTGTGGGTTACAGTGAGATAGCATGCAAAAAGCACAGGAGCAGCTCTCCAGCAACCATTGTGCCAGTTGTATATATTCTTTAAAATGCCCCCAGAAATGACAGACCACTTGAAGCTGAAGCAGAGCAAGATGTTAATTTTGTGAGTATTCCTCCTTTTGGCTTGAGCAAGATGCCTTGGCAAACATATCTCAGCTCCAGGCTTTGTTCTCTGCTCTTTTCCTATTGTCAGGCGTACAGTAATGCCAACCAAGAGCTGAAAAGCCACTTGCAGTAATATCAGCTAATGTGATGCTGGCAGAGTGAGAAATCACCACTGTTCTGCTGGCAAAGGACATTTGTTTTGTTTCCTTTTATTACTCCTGAAGTCTCACTTTGGGAAGCAAACTGAGTTATCACTGCAGGAACCAAACGAGCTCAGCTACAGGAGAGATATCCCCTCTCTGGCTCAGGCATATGTCACCTGCACACACTGGTGCAGAGCTTCATGGCTCTTTTTGTAATATTTGTGTGCTTTCCAATATGCTTCCTTCCTAAGTGTACTGAACAATTTGGAATCTATTTCTTTTCTGTATCCAGAAGACTCTTTCTGACTTTAACTCACTGCTCCTCTGTAGTTTGGTGTGGATGTTTGAGGCTGATTTGTTTAGTTTCATTTTTCTCAAGCATGGTTGTTGTTGTAAGTGCAGTTATGAGAGAGAGTTAATTAAGCATTGTGGTGGATTGCTTTATTGATTCTACAGACCATTCACTCTGCAGAACTGAAAACATTCATAAGCATGATTTAGTATCATAAGGATGGTTAATAAACATCTTGAAGAGCTGTCTTTTAACCTGAACGGTGATGTAAGTAATTCATAGACCTTAAGCTGCAACAGAGCAGAGCATCTCTCCCACCCCCTCAAAAAAAAAAACCCAAACCAACCAATGAAACAAACAAACAAGAAAACCAGCCCAAAACCAGCCAACCATCCAAAAACCCCCACAAATAACCCATCTCATGAACAACAGCAAGAAAAAGTCCACTTGAGGGACTGGTGAGATCAGGAAACATGTGAGTTTGATGTTTATTTTGTTTTTAGGGCTTTTATGGTGACTTTTCTTTTAGTGGTTGAAATTTATGGGTGATATTCATCGAATATGTCTAATATAATTAAAATAAATGTAGAGGAATGAATAGTGATTACCAGCTGGCTAAAATCAGAGTTTGCTTAAGCTTAAGGTTGTGTTGATTACAGGAGAATGACCAGTATGTATTATCATCTTCATGTCTGAGATAAAGAGGATTTAGTTTGGATTCAAATGAATGAAGGGGATTTGGAGTTGCTTGTGTCAGGGACGAAAGTACCTGACTGAGGCTTTTTTCTGTTGTGTATCAGAAACAAAAAGCTCAAGGTGAGTGTGAATATTGGAAATATAGGTTCAGCCCAGGACCTTATCAGAGATATAAGGACCATTGTGGATTTACTGCAAATCAGATAAAACTCAACTTGGAGGAATGCTGGCACTTAGAGAAATTACCATATTGTAGCTGACCCTCTAAACTGATTTCAGTGGGTCCAAAGGAATCTCTTCCTTATGCCACAAGTGTCTGGGCTACTGGTTCCCTTCTGACTCGTGCAGTGAGGAAAATAGATAATTTTGTTTATTTTGTTTAGGTGGTGCAGAAACAACAACAGCAAACCCCCTTAAATAATTGTTTAGATAATATCGTTCATTTAAAATTCACTGCTGCTAATTAAATTGTAGGCCTAACAAGCTAGGAAGTAAACTTTGGCAACGTACTAAACCACAACAATTATTAATGTAATTAAATTTAGTTATCTGTGTAGATGAGCAGAATGGTGCATTTAGGATAGCAGGAGCATGTAGCTGAAGCTGTGTGGTGTAATGAAGTATAACATAAGAAAAGTCATCACTTTTTCCCTTGAGCAGAACAGCAGCAGGAGGAGAGGGTGCCCCTAAGGCACATTTTGCAGCATTAGAGCAGAAATTACTGATTGATAACAGAGGAAACTTAATACCCTTATTCTGACTTGCAATCTTTGTAGTAAAGCCAAGCTCTTAGAAACAGTTAATTATCACTTCAATACAAATATTTAGATGACAACTGTAAGCCTTCATCATTTCTGCACATATGTTAGAGAACTCTTTTGTTGTCTCAGTATGTGTGAAGGAGGAAGCTAAGAAGAACAAGTAAGAACAGATCTGACATCCCTAAAGTTACTGTCAGCAAAAAAACAGTGGAAAGACAAGGCAGGTTCTTTGGTCCCAGCTGCCCCCTGAGTTGAATTGAACATGGTGTGAATTGTTGTGCCTCAGTCAGTGCTTCTCTGCACTTGTGGGCAAGCAGTAGCTGAGGCACTGAAGAGAAGGGAAAAACCTGCTTTTTTTCCTACCTCATAATAAAGTCTGGTTTTTATTCAAGGCTTGAGATGTGCTTAGGCTCTGATACTCTGGCTAGCAGTTTTTCTGCAGTGCCCAAGGTGGTGGATTGATGGGAATTTCCCATTCCTGGTGCTGAGGTCCTGCACCCACATTGCTGCAGCCTCTGTTGGATCAGCTGGCTGAGCTGAGCTAAGCACTGTCAGCATCCCCAAGGCACTTTATTGATCCTGGAATCAGACTTCATCTCCCCTACCTCCTCTCAGGTAGATTTTTAGCTGCTGCATGTTGGTGCTTGCTGTGTGCTGCTGATGATGTTGGCTGCAGCTGGGAACAGCTGGCCAGGATTACCTTCCTCTCGGCTGTCATGCTGGCTTTACAACTGATTTTTGGCAGGGTGGAGGACTGAGCTACATTCTGCAGCTAGGGAAGATGCTGACATGGCTAATTCCCATCCTTTTGTGGCTTTGCAAGCTCCCTGCCAAATGGCTGCAGTTCTGAAGGGCTGCAGTGTACACAGAGGAAATGGTTCTCCTCGAGCCTACGGGTTGCTGGGGATTTAAAAGAAGTTTTCCAGGGATTGTGGACTTCTGTTGGGCAGTGTTTGAGTCCAGTTTCTGTTTTGAACTTACGGTTTATTGTATGTGTTTTCATGAGATGTGTTAGGAACAGATGTTCCTTTGGGAAAATAACCCTGTCCCTTGACAGTAATTTTTTTCCCCTTTTGTTTATGTGCCTAGAATTAAGGCCTATTCTGCCTCACCAAAAGTGCTGTTTGGCAGGGTTCTTGCACCGTGTCCTTTATTAGCAGTGAAGTAATAATACACTGTAAACAATTTCAAGCAAGCTGAAGAGCAGGACAATGCCATCCACATGTGCTGTAGAATGAAAAATCCTGAAGCAGGAATTGAGGGACTTCCTATGGAAGTGACTGTGCATTCTCAATATGCCTCATGTATTCTCCACACGGATTGAGAGGTGATATTTATTCACACTCAGTTGCTGATTTATTCATAATATTTTGAGTTATTTATCCTTGGCTACATGCACACTGTATTTTTTGGAATTTTTATTGCAATGTAGCAAAACAATATTCTGAGATTTACAATATGTGTTTTTAACTGTTAACTCTATTTAACTCTGCTCCTTTGTTTCCCTTCTCCAAATTTATTTCGTATAAATTAATGCAAGGGTAGGTCTTGACAGGGGTGTTTACTTTGACAACAATTTCAACAGTATATAACAGATATATACATAACATTGTGAATAATCACAATGGAGATGAAAGTTCTGCTTATCCTCTGGGGAAGCCCATAACACACCACACACCTTAGAGTCCAGCCAGAATAGCTGTAATTTGACTATTAAATGCTGCAATGCACCATGTGCAAGGATTATTTATGGAATAGTTCACAAGTAATATTTAATGATGCCTTTGAAAAAAAAATCATTCAACTTGCCTGAAAAGGAAGAAAAATATCAGTGCAGGTTTTGCTTTGACTATGAGTTCCTTTTTGACTGTATGACCTCATAGGCAAAACAGTGCAGAAGGTGTCTGTACATTAATGCATGAAAACCAAATGCTTGTGAGGAAACCTTTAAGTGCATACCTGTTTTATTGGAAACTTCTAATAATGTGCAAGCCTGCTTGGTGTGATGGGATAAAAAGAAATAAGCAATAGGTGAGATCTGTCATGGTCTGCTGTAGCTGGTCTTGATCCAAGCTCTCAGTTGACCATTCCCCAGTATCATGCCAGGAAAAAGAGCTGTAGCTCATTTATTTTAGTGTTTGGTAAAACTTAGCCTAAATTAGCCTAATGGGAGGACAGTCTGCTCAGAGCAGTGGTTTTTATATTTGATGTCCTGTAAAATGAAGTCTGTCCTCTTATTCCTCAGCTGACCCAGATTCTCTGGTTTGGAAAATAAAGCTGTTGCCCTGTTCCAATCAAATGTGAAACTTTAGCCTTATCAAGGGAATGAGGTGGCAGCAAAGTCCAGGAAAACAGCAATCTGGAGACCTTTCCCTAAATTATCATTTACCTACTAGACTCACAGTCTCTATCAAACACTCAAATGTACTTGATTTGACTCAGAATCAAAATCAGACCTTAAAATTAGTCAAAGTGCCAGAGAGGAATTGTGAAGTTAGCAGTGGATTCAGTGCACTGCAAGTGAGAGCCAGGGGGCTGCTGAAGGCTGGGGTAGTGTCCAGAGCAGGATGTTGGCTCCATGAGCTCGTGTGAAGGTGGCTGGTGTGAGTGATTAATGCCTGGGGCTGCTGCGCTGCACCGAGCAGAGAGGAAGGAAGGAAGAGAGGAGGGAGAGGGAATGTGGATGGAACAGCAAACCACAAAAACATCTCTTTGATCTCTGGGGGTAAGAAAAAAGCACTTAACAGTGAAAGGATGGGAGTGGGGCAAGCTGTGCTGCTGAACTGTTTGAAGCTGAATTGTAGGATCCCAAAGAAGCAAAGCAGAGTTTTTATGATGCATAACACCTTAACCAGAGCTCAGAAGCATGGAACAAACATAGAATACCTCACTGCATAGATTCTCTGTAAACTTTCTGAGCATCATGTGTCACCACCTTCCTCCTATTTCATTAATCATCCAATGTGACGGATTTAGAGAAATTGCAAGAAAATACAATTGCACAACTAGAGTTGATTGGGTGTTTTCATAATCTTGGCTATCCAAACTTGCATCATCATTGTGCATGATAACTTGCATTTTTCTGAAAATACTTTTATTTTCTTTGGTCATTTGAAGCCATTTTCCAGAAAAGGACCCTTGCTCATCTCTTTGGATTCTTTGTGGTTGCAGAGTGCGTGAGCTGTGCTCAGTTTAACAGCACATATGGTGTCTTGAGATTGACATCATTCCAAGGCTGTGCCACCATGTGGTATTTAGAAAAGGAATTAGGGATGAGCATATTGTTTGTTGCCAAAGAAATGAAGTCTGAACTCCTTCCTGAAAGGTAGGTGATGGCACTGCTTGAAAGCTCTAGACCATGAGACAGAGCAGTGGATCTTGGAGTGAAGACTGGCAGGTGTGTGCAGAACATTTCTCATGGAGACATCAAAAAGTCCAGGAAGTTTCCATACGAGCTTTGTTTCTTCATGTTATCCTGTATTTCCTATTTCTCTCACTTCCCTGCTTCTGAAATGCTTTTCTCTGGCAGCCACATGAGAGAAAACAAAAATTATTTTGATCACTGGGCCTCTGTCTGAGATTGGGGCTCAGACTGCAATCCAGTGGGATGGACATCAGTCCTGGGGCTGTTGTGTCACAGCTGATACGGTACTTTCTCCCTCTTGACAACTCCTAAAGAGGTGAAAAAAAGGACATAAAATTACAATGTTTGCAGCTGTTTGTTCTTGTTAATGAGATGGGATTTTTTTCAGCTGCAGAATGATGCTGTAGATGTTTGTGGAGTGTCAGTATTGTAGGTGATGGAAATTGCAAACCTGTGTGTCTTATCCTGTTTAGTACTTCCCCTATGTGACTGGCTGTGCTAGATTCTCTGGCTTTTGAAATTATTAGAACTCAAACTATTAGAATTATTGAAATTATTGTATTTCTAAAAAGAGAAAAACCAGCAATCACTCTAGATTTTCAGTTAGGTTTTGTATTCACTCAAGAAAATTCTAACTTAAAAAATGTTACAAACAGAACCTATATGAATGTTTTCATTCTTCCTTCCATAGTTTCCTGTTTTGTGTAGCTCCAAAGAGACAGGGGAGGTGACCCTTTGCAGCAGCACAAGCCATTGAATCCCCCACAGCCAAAATGTTGCCCTGCAGCATTTCACCACAACACAGGGCAGCTCATTGCCATTAAACTGTGGGGGTTTGTTCACTGCCCCTATCTAAATGTGACTCTCTCTTCCTGGAATATTAAATAGTTTAAGTCCAAATGGGACTTGGGTGCAGGCAGCACCTTCCTATTTCCTCAGAGGGACTTCTCTGAGGTTTCTTAAGGCACAGGGTGTTGCTGGCATTCTCAGCTCTCTCCTCTGAAGGGGTGTACAGCTGGGCTGGATTACTTTTTAAAGGCTAGAAAGCAATTGAAATCACTGTTGCAACAGCTTTGGTTCCTGCATCCCCGAAGTGGGAAGGATGGGTTGCTCCAGTGTAAGGCCGTGACTAAGCAGATGCTGAAGCTTGCCCAAAGCCAGCTCATTGCATCTCTCCCAGTTCTGGGTTTCTGTTTTCCTCTCCCCATCCTAACCCTGCCTGGGGGAGGTGTGAGGCTGCACTTTGTCCCCTGACACAGCAAAACCCTGATGTAAACTTTCAGACCTTTCCTTATCTCAAAGGACAATTGCAGCTTCCTTTGAACCAAGACATTTCTTGCAGCAACAAACTCATTGCTTTAGGAAAACTAGGCATCTCCCAATCTCCTTTTTACTTCCCTCTTTGTTAGGACTTTTTGTTGGCATTGTGCCAAGATCTTTCTTTTTACAACCAAGATAAAGTTGTTACTTAGATTTTTTTTTTTTTGGCATAGAAGTGGATTTGCATAAATGTGATTTGCTATTACAGTTCCAACAAGTCTGAATGGAAATCTTTTGGGGTCTGCTGGGGCCCTTTCCTTACTGTGCAAATGTTTAAGAGAAAAAATAATGAAAAAAAACAAGTTTTTTAAATGAAAAAATACTATATATATGCAAAGGAATTTATTAAAAATGTCATTCAACTCTGTAGCTAATAGTTTCTCCTCTATGGCTTTTTCAAAAAAATTGCTTATTAGAAAAACAACTACCACACTGAGGAGAAGAATTATGGCTATTTCAAGCATATTATTTCACAGTTTCTTGCCAGTGGGAGACTCAGGGAGGGGGCTGGGGGCTTACAGTGGCTAGACAGACCATTAAATTGGTATTAAACACTTTTCCATATGAAGGAAGTCACCTTCTGCCAAAAATCCAGGAGCAGAGGGATTGGTTTCAATGCAAGTTGTGCTGGGATGGGGCTAGATAAACTTTGAAAAATGAAAAGGTCACTGGGGTCAGGGTGCAGGCTGCAGAGCCTGTCTGGCTGGCTTCCTTATAGACTCTTGGAGAGCTGGCACACCAAAGCAGCATGACGTCCTGCATAAACATTCGATCCTCCTGACCAGTTTTTTCCATGGTATTAACTTTCTTAGCAGGGAAAAAAAAGTATATAAAAATGACCAAAGCTGTTTTATATCAATTTTCACCATGCAGAGGCACAGAAACTTTTCTGTGTTGTGTCCAAAGCAAAAGGGAGGGCAAAGGCAAAAAGAGCAGCTTGACAAAATACTTAGATAGATTCACAAACTGCTCCGGTTCCTAAAATAGCAGCTTAGCACAACAGAGGGCTCCTCTGCAACTATGATAAAATTCACTGCTATTGATTTTTCAGCTGGTTAATGAAGTGGAAAAGATAAATAATATAAACCATGCAAATTTAGGAAGATGGAAAAGAAAGTTAAATGATTCTTTTAGACACCCAAATTAAAGAAATGTTAGAGGGCTGGCTAAATCTCCAAAGCAAAGAGAACCTGGGTGGAACAAGAGAGGCAGGTCTGTGACTGAAGGGAATTGGTGCTGTGCGAGGAAGGGCACAGGGACATTTTCCTGTTGTTTTGTGTGTCCTTGGCTTTGGGGACACAAGTCAGTCCCCTGGCAGTTCCAGGGCTGAGCTTTGTGCTGTGCTCTGGCCCCTGGAGAGCCTGGTGTCCCTCGAGACCTCAGTGTGCAATGCAGTTGTACTTGGTTTGGAACAGACAAATGTGGGCAGCAGTGTCCTGGGTAAACTGAGCATGGAGAGGCTGAAACCTTGGCTGGACTGATGCATTTCACTTTCCTGGAAGGCAGAGCCAAGGATTGGCCCGTTCCTTCTATTGTAAAGAACATCCCTTCTCCTGGCTTGGCCTTCGTGCACATCGTGCTTCAACTTCAAAATACTGATCTCAGCTCAGTAAAGGCAAACAAGCAGAAAATCTTCACTGTGCTGTTGTAAACTTTATTTTATATGCTGGAGTTTTTTGGTTATGCTTTAACACAGGACCTAGATTCTGGAATGAACTGATGAAGCTCCTCATCAGAGCAATGAGAAAGTGCATTGGGCACTGAGTGAAAGCTCAGAGCACTCTGCATGGGAATCCTCCAGCACAGAGCTTTGTGCTTGGAAGCAGCTCTGCTAATTTCCTGAGGAATTTGTGTGGCATATCTGCATTAGCTGATGGTATTGTAGCAGCAAAGCTTAACTCTGAGGGAATTTGGAGCCATTAAATAGAGAGGCAGGTCTGTATTGTCTATACAGGATCAGCAAGGTTTGTGACATCTGCTGGTTTGTGGTATTTGAAAGAGAGAAAAAAATTGCTTTCTGTTTTAAAGCTTGAAGTTATTTTTTTCCTGAATACATCTCTATTTACAGAGCTATTTTGCTGTTCAACCTTTTCTGGATGCCCTCAAGGTCTGGATGCTGCCATCCTATACCTGTAATGTGACCAAAAAAACCAGTTCTCCTCCTGGAGCTGTGGGACAGTTTGGCCATAGCCTTTTTATGTACCCACAGGTAATGTGTTGCTTGCTGAGGATTCTTGTGATCAAAGTGCATTTTGGAGGTGGTGGCTCACATTTGGAGACATGCACTCCTGCCATTAGGCTGGCAGAAAACTCATTATGTATTGGGGAGGCTTGGGTTTATTGCATAAAACTTCCACATCTGGTAATCAGAAAAAAGAGGGATATTCCAGGTGATATCCCCTTCCATGATATGACCCCTGTGAGAGAGTAATGCAGGAAGAGACTTGAATGACACAGAAGACCAATGGAGGCTGCATATAAGAGGGGAAAGCAGGATCAAATGACAAGACAAAGTCAGGCAGAGAAGATTTAATATGTTGCACTAAAAGCTGAAAATAACTCAGAGAGATGATAAAATCTCCAGCTTAAGGCAAAGAAGAGTGGAAACCACAGAAATGACCATAGTCCATTTTTATTTTAACCACTTGCAGGAAGGTGATGAGTCCCCACTTCCAATCTCTCTGATTTATCAGCAAGGTGAGTTTCCTGCTATGGAAAGTAGAGCAGCACAACTGCCAAAGAAGGAGGAAAAGCTCTGCAAGGAGCAGGAGGAGAAAACCCATTTGGATGGGGAGAGGAACGTGCCAGAAACACAGAAGTCAGAGAGCAAGAGTTGTGCTGCCTCTTAGGAGGTGAACAATATAAAAAAACAATGTCATGATTTCAGATATGGAATAGACACAGGTAAATGAAGCAATCTGAAATTAACTCATTTTTGTGGATATCTGAGTGCAGAAAACTTCACTCTTGAAACTCTATTACTCTGCTAGGTCAGTGGAAGGTCAGCTGTCCAATAAGTTACAGGGCTATGTTAATTTGTTCCACCTTGGGTCTGTAGCCTATAATGAAGTGAAACAGGACTTTATGGAAACTTCTTTACTAAAGTAAAAGCTCAGATTTTCAGGTCCTGTCATTTACATTCCCTTTCTGGACCTGAGCAGAGGTCCTCTCAGAGAGCTTAAAAACTTCTGCTAAAAATATGTTAATAAATAAATACATGTATAAACAATACATGCATATACAATTTTAATTTTTTTTTTTTAACACAGGTTTTTGGGTTTTTTGGTTGACTGTTTTGAGTTTTTTTTTTAATTAATACCTTCTTTCTTGATAATGTTCTCAGAAATTGTAACTGAGTTCACTGTCAATTGTTTTGCACAGCAAAGGTTAAAACTTTCCTGACAAAAATGCAGCCCAGTAGCTGAATGCATATATCTGCCTGTGTGTTGTTTGGTCCTCTGGGGAAAAGGACGGGTCACAGAGAGGTACAGACCTTCCTCCTTAGCTGAAGTGCTCGAGGCTTTGAACTGAAGTATTTTCATATGTAGATGTGTGGGTATTGCTACAAATAGATAATGTATTGAGCATTAACAGTGCAACAGGATACAACTGGTAAATAGACTTGAATAATTGCACAGCTGTAAATAAGATTTAATGTTCTCCATGTTCACTCTTCCACATTGTCAGACATCCTTTCTAACTGTAGAAATTCACAACTCTGAAGTGTTCACAGAAAATCAACAGAAGACCAGCTTGTAAATATTTTTTTCAGGTTTAACTGGGGTTCAAACAGAGACCATGTGCTCAAATACCTCCATTTCCATGAAGCTACTTTCCATTCTGAGCTTTGCAGATCAGGCCAGTCATTATTACCCCAGCATTATTCATCCTCATTCTTTCGGATAAACCATTCATTGTCATCATGTTAATATTTGTTATGTGGGTTCATTTTATGTGGTGTTTTTCTTTTTTCCCAATTTCCTCTACTGCTTCAATAACTCTTCCATTTCTTGCAAGACTTAATTTGAAACTATTTAAGTTTATTATTTCAACTTCCAAAGATGATTATTTGGCATTGAGTAAACAACCTTAGCTGGGCACTTGCTGACATTCCTCCATAATAACTCTCTGCCCCTATTTTATCACTTATAGAATTGCTTTCTAATCCATTTTATGGGTCTTTTTAAAAATAGCTTTCTTACATAATAGATAGTAACATTTGTTATAAAATGAAAGTAAAACCAATTAAATCTGCCTTATTGTATTTACAAAAGATTGATGTGTGTAAAGTCTAACAGCTTATTTGGGGATTTTAATTTAAAAGTGCCCTGCAATAACATTCTCTTGTGTTCTGGGAGCCAGCAGTAATGGAGAAGCCACTGCCTGCAGAGATGCTGAACTAAATTAAAGTATTGTGTGCTGGTATTCGAGCATCTGCCTCATACGTTAATCTCTGGGAAATGCTTGAAAATACCCTAAAGTAGCAGCCATTTCTTTGTTTAAGTTTGAAAGCTTTTTGTATCTATTCTCATTAATGCTGTAGTGCAGAAGATTTGCTGTTCAGTAAATGAATTGAACAGAAGCTTCTGCAAACCAAGAACAGATTGCAGCTTCCCCATTTCAGTCTCCATTTTACTTTTGTTGTGTGTAAAGGATTTAAATTTGAGCTCCAGGGACCTGGATTTTACTGTATTTCCTTCAACATATGTGCTCCCTGTGATACAGAAGCAAAATAGTTGGACTTACATGAATACTGCAAAAATTTGAATATTATGCTGCCTGAATGATTGAGGATTTTTTACCCCACCTTAGTCTTTCTCTTGAGTTATATATACACATATGAGATTCTAAGTGCATGGTTTCTCTGGAAGGTGGCTTTAAAACTGCTTCATCTTCATTGTAAAGTCTTTTTTTCTTCTCCTTTATAACATTTTCATTCACCCAGCTCTGGATCAGAAACAATGCCATGTGATTTACAATCGAGCATGACATAAATAGTTGAAGCTGTAAGAGCAGCATGTAGTAAACAAACAGACTGTAGGCAGTAATATATTTGAATACAGGATTTTTATGCATGAATAATCCATGAGTTTATAAAAACCAGTCTGTTTATAGATAATTTAGGAATAGAAGAATGCTTTTATTCATGAAACTACTTATCTTCTCCAGCTTAACAAACAGCTCCATGAAATGCAAGAAAAGAAGAGTTGTGACCTACAGATTTGGCAAACTTAGCTGTTGCTATTTCAGAAGATAAAAGTGTGCATCCATAAGGACAAGACCTGCAAATGGAGAGAGCGTCTCTGAGCACACTCCCTTAATGCTGATTTCTGCACTGGTACCAAAGCTGCAGGTGAGCATCCTTGAACATCCTCAAACATCCTCCTGCAGCTCAGCTGAGTGAAAATATTATTGTCTCCTGCTACTCCTTTCCCCAGCCTGGACATTAAACCCCTTTTGTATGGCTGGAGGAGCTCCATTTTTGACAAAGCAAATGGATTGGCAAAACCATGTTATTTGTTTAGGAGGGGAGGTCTGTGACCAGCTCCTAGGCGATCTGCAGGGACAAGTTACAAGTGGAATAAGGGAATGATGTGTGTCCATCCCCTGGTTTTGCCTCTGGCCTGTAATTTAAGTGTTGCCATGCCAAGTAAATCATCAGTAAGAGGAGAAATGGCAGGATGTGCATCCTGGCACAGACCACAGCCCTGCTCGGAGCTGCCCTCGGAGTGCTGGGCAATCAGGGCAGAGTGCAGGAAGGCCAACATCTGTGTGTCAGTCTGGCCTGGAAGAAGGCAGGTGCTTCATAAATAATGACTGTGACATTTCTGAGCCTTTCACTTCATTGTTTTTCTTCAGCCAAAAGTATCTGTTGAACTAAATTATACATATAGTTTATCATCATTTTGAAAATCATTTTTATACCTAAGAAATTCATTTCCTTGTCCAAAGAGAGTCCATCAGCTCCCTTCTCATCTGACCTCTGTTTTGCTTCTTTAAAGAAGCAAAAATTGCTGATGCAAGTTTCTTTAATGGTTTATCAGAAGATCTTTATGCCTTTCACCTTAGTTCTCTTGTGTTTAGAAACAGTACTTGCAAAGAAGGAGGCTCTATTAGGATAAATTAATATGAGTGCTTGTAAATAGAAAGTGGAAATAGTAAAAGCTAGTTTTAAAATGCTTACAAAGAAAACAATTTGAAATGGGAAATCAGAAAGGCACTGTGTAGAGAAAATGATGAAGGGATTAGGAGAGTGTGGTGGTATTTCAAACTGAGGTTCCTTATATGTATTTAATTAAGAGCCAATAAAGTAGGATTTAAATATACATAAACTAGACACAGTAGAAACTTGTTAATTTGCACTCTAATAATTTGCAGATTTTATAATTTGTGAAAAGAAAAAAAAATTCAAAGCTTCCTGCTGCCTTGCAGCAATGGTTTAAACCAGGGGCAATAGTGAAAAACCTAACATTAACACTTTTGTTTCTTTGACAAGTGTACTGGAAAGCAGTGGCTACACTTGTGATTGTGTTGTAAGGGATTAACCACTAGATCATAGTAATTAATACACCATAAAATGCACTTTATTCCTACTCTTTCAGACAGCAGACTTCAACTCTCTAAGATTTTCATTGATTTGAAGCTGGCCATAAATAAGCATAAAGTCAGAAATGCAATGATTTGCAGTAACTCTCAGGCATTAGAATCACAAATCACCACGAACAGCATGGAAGCTTTTGAACACATGCCTGGAAATTCCTGTTTATTGTTGGAATCTTGTCCTTCAGGAGGTTTTGTCAGCCATGGAGGGTGGCAGGAGGATGCTGCTGCTGCAGGTCACTGTGTCTGCAGGGCTGGGTCCCAGAGCTCAACCTCAGTACAGGAGAAGGAACAGAGAATGGTCTGGTTTCGGTTGATGTTGATTTTTCTAATGGGAATCCTGATAGGCCAGCTCCTGCCCATTATTCCTAATTATTAACTAATGTAGGTCTGATTTTATTGCCCTCTCACCTGTGCAATAGATCACAATGCTCAGTGATACTATTTAGGTGTCTTTTCCTTTTTATTTATTTGCATAGAAGGTAAATTGAGCTTAATGTTATTCTGTGATTAAAATATTTGACTGATTTTTTCAGCCACTTTTAACCTGTTATATGCAATATTTTCCAATGAGGTTGTTCACATAGAGTCTAGGAAATAAACCATCGAGAAATTCCAAACATATTTCATACACTTAATTAATTAATTTTATAATTAGGTTGAGATGTTAAATATGGTTTTGTTTCTGAAATAACTTTTACTTATGTGAATTATGGATCAGTGTTCAATTTTTATTATCACCGCAACATTTTAGAATATTTTCCTTTGAATTCCAGTTGTGTGAACTGGCCTTGATATATGCTGCCCTTGATACACACTAAATCAGGAGAAAAAAAAAAAAAAAACCCAAAAACCAAATAAAACTGCAAAATGACCATATCAGATGAAGATATTCCAGTCTACTTTAATCCTAATTCCAGTTACCTGGAAACTATCTACCCAGTTATGTGTAAAAACTTGGAGGGATGGTCCATTGAGTCAAAATGTTTTGTCTGACAGGTAATTGCAGCACTTGGTGTCTCCAGCAGGGAGTTGCCCACGTAGAGCTCTGGGCACAGCAGGACCCATTTTTATATATTCTTCTTTTGTGGTGTATTTGGTTAATCAAATCTATTTCTCTGCAGCTTTCCTTCTGCAGCCAAGATAGAGGATTTGCATTGTGACTCCAATTAGCTTGGAATTAATATGAACTTATGTTCAGCAGCTGATGTTTAATGTATGTCAGATTAAGTGGTTCTTTGATAAACTGGCTGTGAGGATTGTTATGACAATTCCTGTGACTGAGCTGCAGTAGTACCATGTGATTAACAGAGATAGTTCTATCTTGTGCTGTACCCTGCTGTCACACGGAACCAGCCAGATCAGCTTTTAAGGCAAAATTTGTTTAAGAACAAACAAACCAAGTCCTCAGAAACTAAAACCCCATACAAAATAAAACACACATACACAAAGAGAAGTTCCCCCCAGACAATTGAAACATCTGTCCTTGTTGCAGTAAGTAGCAAGGATCAGAATAATTTCAAAATGGCTTAGGAAATTATTTTTCTGCTTTTTTTTTATCTATTTTGTATTTTCAATGAAATAAAGGGTCAAAAATGGAAACAGCACATATTAGAAATGCTGAGAAAATGCTTGCATCGCATGTCATTGGTAAAAACCCCAAACAGTAAACATTCAGTGTCTGAGCCAGCCAGGTGTTGCAGGGTTTGGCCAAGCCCAAATCCTCCACAAAAGAATCTATTTTTTAGCATTTGTATTGCAAGGAAATGTTGGTTTCTGCAGAGCTGAGGCTCTAGCAAGAAATCAGTAGACACTGGTGAGTGCAGTGCTCACCTTTCAGAGTGCCTGTACTTCCAAACATCTCTCATGTAAGGCTTTTGCCAAGGCTCATTTCAGCAGAAATTGGTTTCCTGGTTTTTTAGGGGCATTTTTCCCCTGAATAAAGTGAGATCATCTTGTCAAGAAGTTTTCTTCTGCCTCTGTTGCAAGTGGTCCTGTTTTTTCACTATCCCTTTTGCCTTTTTGCAAAAGGGATTTTTTGCCTTCACTATCCCTATTTGCCTTTTTGTCCCAAGGTCTGGAGGAAATCTGTCCAGGATGAGGCAGAAGGAATCTTTGGGCAATGGAGGAATCCCCCAAAAGAAAAGCAGTGCAATTTGCTGCATCAGTCCCTGGCCAAAAGGAGATGAGCAGAAACATTCTCCTGGCAGGAATATGCTCAAGGTTGTAATTAGCAACAGTGATAAAAGAAGAGACATGGAAACATGAAATTAAATGAGCTAAGTATGCAAACCTGTTCTTGCAGTGGGTCACTCAGTGATGCTTAAAACAAATGTGAGTGGGCAGTACTAGCTTAATTCCTAATTTTATATTCATCTGCTGGTCCTTACAGCAAATATTCATACCTCTGTTTTGAAAAATCCCACATCTGTGTCAGATTGGCACCATGAGGGTGTGGGGGCTTTGGTGTCCCTGCTGGGGCAGTCTGGGTCACCTGGGCATCAATTTTATGACCTTCCCCCTTTAGTTTCAGATCACAGCTGACAAAGCAGTTTATCTTTTATGTATTTTTCTAGTGTACTTTTTCAGCTGATTTTTTAAAAATTGAAATTTATAGTTGAGCTTATCTTTGAAAAAACTCCTTTGAATTCTTCATGGTAGTCAGGATGTTTTCCAGCATTCCTTTAACCATTTTTAAATTGATTTGCCTCAGTAGCAAATATCAGTAGTTTAAGATTTATGATTTTCTTCTTCATATAAATGTTTCCCTTAGGATTAAGCTTGAGATAAATTCCTTCATGTTGCTGCCCACTACTTGCATTCATGGGTAAATTAAACTGTCTGGTTCCTTGTCGCTGATTTTTCAAATTAAATTAAAATTGCAGAAGCATTTTTAATGCCAAAGATTAAACAGGTGTTGGTGGATATATCAGGTTTTGACAAAGGTTTGGCAGGTATTGCTTAAAGTAAGAATGGTTTTTTTATATTATTTATTTTTAATTTTAGCTTTCCTGGCCTTTCAAGGGTGCTCAGAAGTGAGATGGATTGTTATAATGCTTGTCACAGTTTATTCTCATGCACCCCTAAACCAGGAACATGTGAGATGAGGAACTCTTCATCTGGAGGGATGTGTGTAATGGCTGATACCAAACGCTGTTCACCCCTCCTCAGTGATTACAGCCCCCTGGGAGCTGTTCCCCAGTTCATGATATCAGCTGAGATCACTCTCTTCCTGCTCTGATCTGGCTGCTCTGGTATTTTGTCTGTGCTGACCCTGGAGCTTGTTCCTTGTGCTGATTAATGTCTTCATATGGTCCTGGATCTCCCTGTCCTGCGTGTCTGCCCCTGCTTCTTCTCCTGTGCTGTTACCTTGTGAGTGATTTCTCATAATTGCAGCAGGGTTTTGTGAAGACACATTGCCTGCTCTGTCCTGCCAGACACAGTCCTCAGGGTCCCAGGAGCTGGAGGGCAGCCAGGCAATATTCTGCAGCTGCTTTGTGAAAATCCCAGGGGCTCAGGCCTCAGTGAGGTTGGACTCAGACACGGCCAGATGTTGAGAATTCTTACCAAGCACATCCTGAGCTTCAAAATGTTCACAAATTCTTGTGAATAATGGTGCATCCTACCTAAAGGGTGCTGCTTTAATGTGTGTTCTATCTCAGTTCAGACTCCCTATCTCATACAAGTTTAGAAGGAAGAAAAATCTGTAAACCATCTTCTAATCTGTTAACCATCTTCTACTCAACTAAATACAGGCCAAGACTTGTCCTGGTAGAGCTAAATAAAAGCAGGTTTAATGCATTTCTAGCTGTTTGAGGTATTGTCCACATACTGAAGTGTTTGCTTTTTCCTCACCCTGCTGTACCAATTGCCACACAAGGAATGGCAAATTGCTGATCTAATTCCATGAAATATCATGTGGTGGCTCCTCCACCCTTGGGGAATTCTCCTAGAAAGTCAGAGCTGGTCTGGAAACTATTTTTTGCTGTTGGAAGAGTTTAAAGGAGCTGCCTCCCAGCAGTGAGTGGAGCCTGTTGTGCCTGACAGATGTTTGCAGTCCTGCCTCAGAGCTGCGTGAGCTCACATCCGAGCCTGCTCCTGACACAGCACATCTGAGAGGGCTCCTTTGCTGAGTGCCATTTGCTTTTCCACCCAACTGAGCTGATGTGCTGAGTGCTGTGTGCAGGGATACCCTGCAGCCAGCACCCAGGGCTCTGAGGGATCTCTCAGGCTGTTCTGGGCTTGCTCCCTCCCTGGAGCCTCCTGATCTGAGTGTTGTGAATAACACAAAGCTCGTCCTCAGTTCTGTGTGCTCTAGTGGAATTGGCAGCTTCCTGAGGTGGAAGGTGGGATGACTTAGGCATTGTCTGGAAGTGGAGAGGTGAAACCTGCTGTGTTGTTCTGGGAGCTGTTTCAGCTTGGCTTATCTGTTGGTGCTCCTGCCCTTTGTCTTCTTTCTCTGACTACTGGGTGTTTGTAACACAGGATTTTTTTTTTCTTATTTATAGTAAACCTGAGAGGTGAACCTGTCCTCCATTGGAGCCTGTGGGATTTTGCCCACTGCAATGAAAACAATTGAAAAGGGCACTGTAAGGAACACTATGCTGTAAAAATCATATGCTTGCTGTTCTCAGTTTTGTACCTCTCACTGGTGATTAAAATGTAAGTTTCTGTTTTGATATCAAAGTTAAACTTAGCAAAATCCAATTTTTCTCTGTGATTTTGCCTTTTTCCTTTTTCCATGTTCTTTACAGGAAAGACTACAAAGACTCACATCCTGTCTTTCATTAAGTGTTCCACTGGCTTGCTGAGCATTGCAGAAGAGGTACAGCATTGCCTCAGGTGAGTTTTAGCAGCCAGGGTGTGGAGCTTTACTTGAGAGTCTGAAAAACTAGAAGAGTTTGACTTAATGCTTTTTATTAGAATTTTGCTTTCTTGCAAAAAGTAGGATTTTGTTTGTTTTCCTTGCTTGGTAAATGAAGGTCTCTGAAGTAAATGTGATGTGTTTTTCTTCAGTCAGGATTTAGCTCTAGGAAAAATGAGCCTCTCCCTGTTTCACTGCCACTCTTGTCTGGAGGGATCTGTGTCTAACCAGAAATGTAAACACCTGCTTGCTTCCCCAGCTTAACTTCTGAAAATCTTGGAAAGTAATTTCCTTCTCATTGAGAATTTAAGATGTTTTATTACTTCTTAGATTAAAACAGCATCTGCAGCTATATAAGCCAAAGTTCCTAAAGCATTTCAGTTTCATCTCTTAGAAGGCCATAGTCCTATTTTAGGAATCAGTCACCTGTGCCCTCTGTTCACACTGGGATGTAAGAAGCATTTGATCTTTCTCAGGTCTGTCTGTCAGTAACATACCCATGGAGCTGCTCCTTTTGCCTTGTTTGATCCATGAGTCCATCCATCCATCCATCCATCCTGGCCAAGTGTGTCAGTGTGTCACTGCTGGTGAATGACACTTTCCTTTTTCACAGTCTGTGCCCCTCCCTATTTATCATTCATTTTGCCTGATGTTGACTGTGTATCCTCAGCATCACCTCTTCTGCCTTTTCCTCTTTTTTTTTTTATTTGCTGGTTATGCCCTATCCCAGCTCATTTCATTGCTTATTACTGCTGCTGTATTTATTGATGGATGGCTCATTTCATTCCAAGCCACATAATCTGCACTCCTTCCTTTGCTGAAACTTGAAAAATGCACTTGGAGAAATATTTGAGGATAGGACAGTTTGTGCACTTCAGGCCAAATTAGAGACACAAATCTCATCATCTTTATTAGGGTGTGCATCTAATGTTTCACACAGCACTGGGGAAATTTATCTCCCTGCCTCTGTTTCTCAATTAGGTCACAAATTATCCCTGATTATATTATGGTTACTGACACATCAGTGCTGCTTTTTTATTTTACCCTACCTTTCTTTTTAAGAGCTCTCATGCTGTGTCTTGCAGGTAAGGCAATTAATGGTTCTACTGCTTGTAATGCAGTGATAAAATCCTCGCTGCCTGCAGTGGGCAGAGGATCAATCCTCATTTCTGCCTGTCCTGATGTCCTTTTTCCCCACCTGGTGCTGAAGCGCTGAGTGTCTTGTTTGGCACAGTGGGAGGGGCACGGGCATGTCTGTGGTTTCTGGAAATGCTGCCAATGCAGTTGTCACATGCTGCTACTAAATATTGCATTTCTGTGGGTTTGGAAAATCAAAACAACCACCTTCTCACAGTCTCCCAACTGCAGTTCTTTCTGTCAAGTCAATGAAAGGTTTTGAGATTTTGCTGCTTTATTTTTATGTCATAACCTAATTCCAAAATAATCAACTGCACCTAGCCAGTACAGCTGTAATACAGAATATGCAGATATCTGTACTACAGAGTTAAAAATATGAGAAAAAATGAGTAATGGTGCTTAAAGAGTAATGCATGTAAAGTCAAACATTCATGGATAGGAAGGATGAGATTAAAATTCCCACTGACAGGCACTTCTAGGATTTTCAGAAGGATCTAACCAGGTGAGGTATGTAGTTTCCATAGGAATGTATGAAATATGGTCTAAACCATTAAGTACTCTTGAAAATGCAGTTGTTGATCTGTATTTTTGGATATCTATATACTTTCAAAAGTAACCCTGGTAGGTGGGAAGTCTGTATCTAGCTGGAAGTCAATGGGATATAGCCATTAGTGGTTTTGTATTGGTACTAAGCCCTATATTTGTATGGGAAAAAAATTCTGAAATACTAGGCCACTTGCCACAAAAAAGGGTCTTCCTTGGATTTTTAGGGGATTTCCTTTAGAACATGTCTGAAAAAGGTCAATTGGAATGAATTAAAATATATAAAGTTTTGAATTGTTCACAGAAGTGAGGCCATTGCAAAAACTATCCAGTATATCAAGTTCTTAAAACATAAAAAGCAAGTGTGTTTTGCTTTTGAATGATTAATCTTAATCCAAATTTTTTTTCAGGTTAAGCATGAATTTTCTTTTTCAGTACTGTGCCAAGTTTTTCCTCTTTGAAGATATCATTAAAAACACCTCAAAGTTCCTCTGCCTCACACAATGTTGTTTTCAGGAATTGCTTGAGGTAAGCAGAAATGTAACTTGGTGTTATAAGGTGAGTCATTAGGAAATGAGAAAAGAGATGAATTAATGTGCTGTCCATGAAATTAGCATTCTGATAATTGTTTGGTTTGTAATTATATTGGGTTTAATCTAACAATAATACTAAGAAATTGCGGGTTTTAAAACCATCCTTTGTTTGGGGGAAAATTTTAATTTCTTTAAAACAATTCATTTGCATCTATGCTTTTTTAAGTTTCTTTTTTTTTTTTTTTTTTTTTGCTAAACCTCGAATGAGCTGTTTATACAACAAATACATTAACCTGGAGCATAGTTCCATTTCAAGAAGAATGAAGGACAAAATTGAATGTGCACCGTTCCTAAGGTAATGGTAGCACAATGTACCTAACTGCTTTGTCGTTGTAGTCTCATCAACACTGAGCTGCTCAGAATTCTTTGGGATGTACATCACTTCTGAGGTGTGGAAGGTGATAACCACTCTCCAATTTTACTACTGATGGGCCTCTCAAATGAGGTGTGCGCTGACATCTCCCTGCTTTGAAGATTTAAAGACCTCAAATACTGAGAAAAAGAGACTAACCTTGAAAGTCCTGTCCCAAAATTCCCTTTATTTTGCACTATTGCTTTGCTGAATATATTAACTTGTGGAAAACCCTATAAAGGAAGATAATATTCCTTGTGTTATCACAAATTTAAGTCCCATGCCAGATAATTCCTAGTGAAACATTTTTGGGGTGACTCCTCTGTTCCAAGGAACAACTTCTAATGAGTGTAAAGCCTCAATGTTATATATTTTCCATCTATCAGAGGTATTTCTGATTCTGAACTGTTGCTGAAATTAGGATTCTAACCAACTTTTATTGAAATTTATAGTATTTAGGAAAAGAAATACTTTTAGCAATTTGACAAGTACAATTTTCCCTAGAATGTTTTACAGTCATCAGAATGTCAGGAATTTGTTGAACTTAAATGAATGTAATCACACACTAAATTTTGCTCTGGTAATTTCAGAAGACAGCTTTGTAGAGTTTTGCTCTCCTTGTTCTCTTATTTTTATGCAAGTGCTGACAACAGGAGATGCTCAGGTATTCCAGCAGCAGGAGTCTAGAGGAACATGGAATTAGTCTGACTTAGATGGCAAAAGATTGTTCTCCATGGTTTCTGTAGTTAGACCTGTAGTTAGTTTTGTAGTTTTTTGTTGCTTGCATTTAATGCTTTCTATATAAAATACTGCAAACAAAACAAACTGATATATTTGATAATACATAATCTGAAAAGGTTGATTGACTTGCCTCAAAAGAGGGGCTGTAATCTTCAGGAGTCTATAGTCCAGAAAACAAAGACTGCAATCCTTTTATTTCTGGATGCCCTTCCCCATTGGTAAACTGAGGGAAATTATCATTTTCAGAACAAATTCACAATTTAAAACTGAAACTACTCTGTACTGAAAAAAATCACAATTTTTCATAAGGAATTAAATTGTGCTTAAATGAATACAGTGACATCCATAAACATTAAGGTGATACTGCTTGATTATAGAAAGCAGATGAATCAATCCTCTCAGTGGGAAACCAAGGGAAAATGCTCTAATACTTTCGGTGAATTACAAGTGTTTTTACTAGTCTGTAAAGTGTGATATTTCCCTCTCTATATGTATATAGATTATGTATAAAATGTCATTCTTTGTGTAAGCAGCTTGCTTTTGGTAAAGGCTGTTTTCCTACTAATCTCATTTTGAATCATCTTTGTTTTCTAGAGTTTCCTAAAAATCAGCTGATTTTTGGCAGTTGCTGTTTACAACCATGGTAAAAGTATTTCAGAGTGATTGACATGAAGCAGAACAGATCTCACTGGATTTTGTTGCACTGTTCAAAAAAGCCTTACTGCAATTCTGGCCTCTTGTGTAGTGGATGTGTAACACAGCAAGACAAAAACCCACCAAAATTTTGTTAAATGTGTTTTAAAGACTCTTGTTGCATGATGCAGGATTGAGTGTGATGGATACTGTGGGTAACAGCCAACACTGCTTGCACAATGAACCTTTTTATATTGTACAATTTATAGTTCTGTTGATCCAGCTCATTGCAGCCATACAAAACTAACTTTTGGGTTCAAATGTTCACCCTGATGTCAAGGTCTGATATTTTTACTTCTCCTTTTCGCCTAATTTTATTGATTTTTCTAGGCTAAGCATTCCATAAATTAGTTATAGCAAGAAGGCATATTGTGGAATGTGATATAATTGGCAACTGATTGTTGATGTAGGAGATTTATGTCGGCCTTATAGTAATAGTTTCTCATAATTGGAAACATATGTGATTTTTAGTGTCTAGACTTGGGAACTTTCCCAGGGAGGAGTTCCAGGTGGTTATCTAAGCATAATAGGCCAAATGGCTACTTAAAGGCTGCAGGCAGACATGGGAAATATGTAAATGCTGCTAGCAAATGTAATTATTTCATAATTTGACATTTATAAATTGTACTATATCAGTTTACATCTGATGGTTTGACCAGCTGATTTGTTCTACAAATTCATGTTAAAGCCTGAAATTTGTTTTCTCACTGAAATAGTGTAAAATACACTTCAGAAGTTCTTGATATATCTGGAGAACAAAAAGCTTTTATCCATCCTGTGCCTAATTTAGTTGCATTGATATATGAATGTTTAACTTAAAATAGCAAATAGTTACGTTTATAGAATGAATCCTGTGAAATTTGGTTTGGTACAGTGAAGTTACCTGGCACCCTGAGCTTTGTCTTTGTTTGTAGTAGCCTGATCTCTGGAAGGACCTCAGAGAGGAAACATGTCTGGAAGTTGTACAGCCTACTAAAACATGTTGTGATTTGATATTTCCTTGATCCCAGTTTGCCTTGAACATGCTCTGCACGTTAAAACATCCCTGGAGAAGGAAAGCACAGTTGGCTATCCCAGCATGAATTCTCTGCAAATATTGTTCTGGGACCTGCACAGCCTGTGACTCACAATGAATATTTTCAGCTCTGGTTCTGACTGTACAATAGGAAATAGAAATGAGTATAAGTGGGGGCCTAACACTGGATGACTTGATCATTGTGGCTTGCACAGAGAACATGGAAGAGCTGTGCTAAAGATGTGAAAAAATTCAGTTTTCATGTGCCAGATGGTTGTTTCTTGTTGTGTTTTTTTTTTTTTTTAATCCTACCTGTTAAGATAGCAAAGAATGACATACGTTATCTGGCTCTGCAGCCAAGTGTGTGGTCCAAATTATTTTCACAGAATGCCTGACAAAGTCTGCTTGCTTGTCTGCCTGCCTCAATCATTTTTCTCAACTAATGAGAAAAATCTGCCAAGCGTTGTTGGGCTAAGGCACTAATTATTCTCAAACAAATGTTTCAATTTTGCACAAGTTAGGAAGTGTCTCTGTTTTAAATGATTACATGCCAAGATGCCAGAGTAGTTAGACCAGTTTAGTTTGTCAATATGTCTGGAAGTCCCAGAGGACCAAAGAGATGAAATCATTTGAAGCAAATAGGTCTGTAGTTTTAGGTGCTCTTTTAGAAAGTATTGGTGCAATAATTATTTTTTTTTTGAGTATGTTCATTTTTAATGAGAAGTAGTAGGTCTATTTTGCTTCTGGAAAAGTGTATTTCTTGTGATAATCCTGGCTGCATTGCTCCTCAGATTCTCTTGGTTTTGGCACTGAATTAAAGGAAATTTTGTGACTAGTCACACAAGACTGGCCCATCTAATCCTTTCTCAGATTTTGTGGCCTGCTCATCATCACCCTATTCAAGCAATAAGGAAGTTGGTCTCTGATAGTGACAACATTGGAAAGTATCTCCTTGTAAAACTTTCAGTTGGATTTGGGAGCTGGCAGCAGCTTGAACAATGTGGGGGAAGCTTACAGCTCATTTTCCAAGCCATGGTTCCACACTTGGGCCTGAACTCCACACCTCAGTGCTCAGAGATTGGTGTGAGCTTCCAGAACAGCATTGTCCCACCTCTGATCATGGAATGTTGAGGTCACATCTGTTTGTGCCAAGGTTCAAGGTTCTGGTGGTGAGGTGTGTGCCTCTGCTCAGCTCTGCCTTTGCTGACAGCTACACTTCTGCCATCTGCCTTTCCCTCTGTTTGTCCTCATCCCAAAATTGCTCTGAAAGAAGCAGATAGATTTCCAGGCTTAGGGGCTCCTGCTGGGTTTGCCTATGTGTATACCAACAAAATTCAGAGTTTCCAAGAACTACCTTCCTGGCTTTAATTAGGGAGCTGCATCTTTTCAGAGAAAAAAGCATTTTAAAGATGATGAGAAATTCAACAATTAATTTCATAGGGATCATTGGAGAGGTTTACTTGAGCCAGCTCTGCAGTTTGCTTCATAGATGTGTGTTAGTTCAAAATTGTTGGATTAATTTGTTTCTAAAGCCTATATAAAGAGTAAGGGGAAAATTAAAGGATTAAACCACCAGAAAGCAGAACTTGGAGCATTTCATGACTTGATTATTTTCCAGCAGCCACCTGTGCCAAGGAAGAAAATGTGCCTAAATATTGTGGTATTTGTATCTCCTCAAACAGTTACTCATAAAGAGATAAATGGGCAGTAATAACATGTATTTCACTAATGGTTTATGTGTTTTGTTTTTAACACATCCCGTTTTTATTTTGGGGGAAAAAATGTAACTTGGTGCCTGGATACTTTCTGTCATTAATTGCTAATTGCCCTAATCTGTAGCCACTAGCTTAACTGCAATCTGTCTGCTTGGTGCATGGTGTGTGCTTTTTAATATAGATTTTGAGAATTATTGGTAAAAAGGAGATGTACTGCATGGGAAAACCCACCTAGTCTGAAGGGTTGGGCAGTGCTGGCAGCTCCTGAAGGAGCTGTGTGGCAGCAGAGTGTGCAGATGGATGATCTCAGGCAAAGGCATTGCAAATAAAACATTCCTGGTTCTCACTGAACGAGCTGTGAACCCCAGGGTGCTCCTCAAAGTTCAACTCCCACACAGCAAAGAAGGTTTTAGGATAACAGTTGTCACCTATTTTGAAGAAGTTTCCATTTTCCATCTCATTGTTCTTTTCTTGGTTGGTATTCAGTGTATTGTTTTTGCTAGATAATTATCTCTTTTGATTTTGAGGTACTGGCTGTTCTTGGTGAGGCCTAAATCTTACCTGTAATGTCAATTACTTTGATTTAATCATGAAGCACACACTCCATGCAAAATTTTGATTGGCTTCTTTTGCTTTTTTGACTTGTCTGCTGAGAACTGGAGCAAGAGGGAGGGTCTAAATTTGGTTAAGTTGGGGTCTGTGCTCCCAGACCAGTGAAATCCTGGTGGCAGTGAGAATACCAGGAAACCCAGTTGTGCCTGGACTGTCAGCAAGTCCAG